CACCCCTGGGGAAAAACAGGCACCTCAAAAATGATGAGAGTTTCCCTGGTTAAAATCATCATTTAGAAGTGCTGTCCCTCCTGAGGAGAGCTGGGTGGATCTGTGAGGCACACACTGTCTCACAGCAATGCTCAAATCCCTGCCTTGCCTCAGGGGGAAAAGGATGTGTTAGGTATCACATCACACTGCATCAAAATGAGAAGTGGCACAATGAATCCAACTCCTCAAAATAAAACTTTCTTCCAGAAATAAGCTTGTCACTGTCAATTTAAACTCTTGCCAAAGAAGCGTGATTTGAGACAGGTTCCTCTTGCCAGTGATTTACAGTGGTGGGTGTGTTTAATCACTATTTCTGATAGCAAGAGTCTAAAGGGAGGTGTTTCTATTCAAAGGTCCAAACCCAGATCCTAAATGCAGCTCTGATACAGCACAGCTGGGAGGAGAGAGCACAAAGGACAATGCACTGAAGGAAAAGGAGCTTTTCCTGCATTTCCCCTTCCCCAACACCACGGTGGTGACACATTGGGGCTCTGAGTAGGACCACTGCCCACCCAGCCAGAGCCCTGCCCCTGCACCTCACCACCCTGAGGGGGTTTAAGGGGCTATTTAGAGACAAAATCTTACAGAACTCTGCAGGGAGGGAGGGGATCCTGCCTGGTTAACAAACTGTGAGAAAGGCATCAGAGTGCCAGCTGGGGAATGGCCTTTGTCTGGAGAAAGGCCTGATGTGCCATGCATGGCAGCAACCCCAGTGCCTCCATGTTGGGGAAGATGAAACAGGAAAGCCTTATAAATATGATTGCCTGGCAAAAGATTGTGAGAATACAGAAACTATAAGTGAGATTGAAATGAAAGCAAGCTTTGAGATCCCTCAGTTACTGAACAAGGGGAAAACAATGGCATGGCCAGCTGAAGGTGATCCCCTTTTGATGAAACAATCCCCTCTGCTTGCAGACAGGCCCAAGGCTCAGAGCAGACCCTGCCAGCTTGGCAGAAGGGGCCCAAAGAGGAGTTTTTAGGGTTTAAAATGTAACCCAGTGTGGTAATGTAATGATTCTTATAGGCTGTATGGAAATGCTGTAGGATTTTTATGTTGTTCTAGATTGGTTAGTGAGAATGGGTATATTCAGCAGAGGAGGTTTTTTTTTGTTTTGTTGTGGGCCTTTCTCTCTTTTCCTCTCTTCTTCTCTCTCTCTCTTCTTCTTTTTCCCGCTCTTTTTTTTTCTCTTTTTTTCTCTCTTTTTCTCTTTTTTTTTTTCTTTTTTCTCTCTCTCTCTGTCTCTTTCTTTGGGGTTCCTCTTTGGGCCCTGCACCCAGGCCCTTTGCAATAAACCCCAAGTTCCAAGCCCTGGATTCAAAGATCTTTTTTCTCTGTCCATCCTGACCATACTACCCCTGATGCTCCTACAGCTCCCTTACTCCCTCACTAGGGGATGGGATGGGATGGTGAAATGCTCCTGGGCTGTTCTGCTGCCAAGACAAATCCCTGCCATGCCCCCAGAGCAGCCCAGCCCTGCTCAGGGAACCTACTGAGGCACCAGCTTGTGGCTGGTGGGACCCTGTAAGACCATGGATGTGCTGTTTGGGTCCAATCTGCAACAGGACCCTTCCAGGCTGAGCCCGGCAGGGGCTCTGTCACTGGCTTGAGCAATGTTTCAAACCCATCATTTATTTTCATTACACTTGTACCAATATCTCTGTCCCAGCCTTCCTGATGCAGGTCGACAGCAGTCCTCAGGAATGCTTTAATTGTGTTTTCCTGGCTTTGCACAGCTCTTATCTAATGCCTCCTGGCTTCATTAGATTAGACACCTCTTGTCCCGAGGATGTTGTCATGTTTTCAAATGGCTTCAATCAGCACCTCCCAGGCTCTGGCTATTTCAGGATACAATAAAGCTGAACCTCATCCAGGCTGGTGAGTAATGGAGGTGCATCTCCCACCCCCGTGCAGCCTGGCTTTAAATTTGCCTGCCTGACATCCTGTAGCTGCAGGCAGAACACAATTAAACCTCTTGTCTTTCAGGCATCGTCCACGCTCACACACAGCTTGGGAGGAAGAGCTCAGCAACAGCAACTGGGTTTGTAATGATCTTGTCATCCAGAAGAGCAGAGAGAGATAAATGAAAGAGTGAGGAAGCAGCCAAGATCAAAGTCAGCTCTCCAGATGTCCAGGGCATGGCAGGTTGCAGGCTGGCTGTGCTCATCTCCTCAGACCCACACTGGCACAGGATGCAGGGACGTGTCCTCAGTGCCAGGGAGTGAAATGCAGAGGGAGCAGCCTAAGCCCACCCAGCATTGGTGCTGGGGGCTTCTCTCCAGGTTTGACTGCTCATAAGCATCATTCTGCAGAAGTGTTCCTCCTCTTGGGGTCCCAGGATCCCTCACCAGCCTGTGTCCCCACCACCCAGCTGCAAAGTGCCCACAGGCTCAGGAAGGAAACTGAGGTGGGAAGGGACAAACCAGACCCCAGGGTGGGGACAGAGACCCCCAGCTGCTCTCTGGGGGAGAATGATGGTGATAGTGGAGCCCTGGAAAAAGTTGAAGATAGAATCTAAAATGTTAGGCTTTGTGCTTTCCCAGATCAACTGCACCTGTGTAAGCCTTATAATTTAATGATAAATTATGTAATTGTTAGATGTGATGATTGTTTAGTAATTAGATATAATTATTATATAACTATAAGAAGAATAATGAGAAACTATGTTGGAAATTCAGAGAGGGGCTAAATTTATGTATACAATAGAACAATCTAAGTTTAATAATTAACATGAAAGTTATATAACAATAGAGTATAAAACCATGATCATTTTGGATGTATGGCCAGTCAGATTTGGGTTGAATATACCCCTGGCACCCAGAGCTCTTAATAAAAAGCACTGCATATAATCCCCCGTGATTGTGTGGTTTTGAACACAGCTAACAATGGCTCCAGGACAGTCCCTGCACTGTGTGGCCCTCCTGCAGCCCAGCACAGCAATCCCAGGCACTCTTCCCTGGCAGCAGAATTTCCTCAGCCCTATCTTCTTAACATGAGCCACCACAATATCAGCATCGATCCATTTCACCCCACAGGCAGTGTTTTGACTTCTGGAATTCATCTTACCTAGCAAGGGACTCTAAATATATCCCAGACAATTTCCTCTCCTCATTTTTAATAATCTCTTTCAGCCTTAAATTCATTTTTGAAAATATGTATTGGGATGATGGGCTTTTTATCACACCTGTGTCATACAGCTCACAACACACACACACACATTCCTTACAGCACTCCTGCATCAATGTGAACAGCACTTAATTCATTACAGCCCCATCACTGCCTGTGCCTGCTCCCCTCAACAATGACACTGGTGATTTGTCACTTGGGTCCCTGTAGGCAGCTCTGTCCCACCTTGCAAAGCCACTGTCACTGCCTGAGCCATGGGACGGGGTGGAATAGCCCTGTTCAAGCACAGCAGGTGTAAAGGGTGCTGGTGGAAACTCAGGGCACTGGGAATATTTCTCTGTCTGCTCTGGGGTGCTTTGATTTCTAGGGGAGCACTGACTTTGACCATCATTTATGGAGCAAGTTTCCTAAACCTCAGAATAGCCTAGAATCCACTAGGGTGTGAAATATATTGCAGAGAGCAGTGTAGATGCATCACTTAGGTGGGAAAATTTAGGTTTTGGGATTTTTAGTATGTAGTGGATGGAAGCAAAAACCTGAAGACAGAAAAGATCCAGTGGATCTCTCTTTACTGACACAAAACCACTCCAGGAGGGTTGGGAGGGCCCAGCCAGGGTCCCAGAAGTTGAGGAATCAGCCACAAGTACCCAACAGCTGCTTCACTGTCCCCTGTGAAACTTCCAGAAGGTGGCAGGTGGGAGAGCAGAAGCAAAAACCCCTTTTCTGTCCAGCATCTCTTGGCTCACTGGGCACAGCAGGGCTGAGGCTGTGCTGGCACATCCTCCCAACCCTGAATCTTGGTGAGACCAGAGGGGAAGAGCAGGCTCTGGCTATTTCTGGATACAATAAAGCTAAACCAATGTGCTGGGGCTGTGCTGGCACATCCTGCCAACCCTGAGCCCTGCTGAGACCAGAGGGCAGCCATGGGACAGCACCAGGGCTGCCTCTCTGGGCTCCCAGCTCAGTAGCTCCTCTAGGAAAACTTCTCCAGCAAATTCCCATTTTGCTAGAAATTGGGCAGGACCAGTGGTGCTTCTCTGGGCCCCCAACTCAGTCAGCTGCCCCAGGAAACACAGAGTTTTGGTGGAATTACATGAGTCAGAGGAGAGAGCTGCATGTGCTGTCCTGCACCTTCAAATCAAGAACTCCTGCATGAAAAATCTGCCTGGAGATGGCTCTAATTTGTTCCAAACCATCATCCCTTCCATCAGCAGGCAGGGAATTGTTATCTATTTATGTCTTACACTGCCATTGAATCCATGGCCAGCTGGAAGATGTTGAGGATGACAAACCTGGCAGTGCAGCTCTGCCAGGCTGCTGGAGCTGCTGCTCAGGAGCTCAGAGCCAGCACAGCCCAGGAGCTTCACTGATCATTATTTCTCAGATCAATAGCTTCACATTTCCATTAATAATTTGGGCAGAAATGTGGAGTTCTCACAGCTCAGCTCAGCACAGAGTCCCCCAGGCCCCAGGAAGCTCTACTTGAAGCAGGGCTGAGCTCTGGCACAGCCAGGGGAAGCAGAAATGGATTTTCCCTGCCAGGCTGCACTTACCCAGCCCTGGGGAAACAGCCATGTACTTGTTCCCTCTGTAGCTTCCTCTTTCCTAAGGAAAACTTCTTTTGGAAGAGCTTTGATCTTAAAAATTCCAACTCAAGCTTTTAAATCCGTTAAGTGACCAGTTAGAGCTTTTAAATCAGTGTTGATTTAAAAGAATTCTGTAGCCAGGCTAAAAATTCTAGTTAATTTTGTTTTCATTTTTTAAAGCAGCATCTCAACTTAGACATCCACAAGCACATACATTTTTTATTTACAGTTCAACTAATGGATACCTTTAATTAATTAATATGTGCACAGCAGAGCAAGGCAGGTGTATGTGGAGCTGAATGGGATATGTTGTTGCCACCTGCAGTTAGGACTCAGAATCTGCTCAAACCTCTCAAAGAGAGTTTTCCAAATCCATGAGGTCTTCCATACAATAAAATGCTTGCTCTCCAAAAGGAAATTAATGTATAAATGCTGTTCTATAAGCTTTGCCACACCCTGCACCAAAGAGCTCTGATTGCAGCTTATCTCCATTTTAACCATGTGCAGGCCTGGTTTTGCCAAAAGTAGAACTTTTGAAATATAGAAAAGGTTTCAAAATCTCAACATCCTTGTTTATAGCCCCATAAAGAGGCTTAAAGCAAGGACAGTGTAACAGCTTACCAAGAAACAAGCTTTTTTCTAGAAAAAGAAAATTCTAGACAAAGTTAGAGAGAAGCAGAGTTCTTTACTCTGAACATGGCTCTTAACATGACAACCATCAGGCTTTCTGCCCACTTGCTAATCTGCAAGCCCAAGAGAAGCGTCATGGTTTCAACCTTAAATGAAATTTCCAGTTAATTTTATTTCTCTCCAAAGTTCTCTCTCAAAGTTCATTCACATTGGCTGGCAAAGTTCTATTCATTTTTCTCCCATTACACACCATAGGTAAAATGACTAGTTTTTAGCTTCCATTCTGTATAACAATAAAAGAAATATACAAATTAAAACAAGATTAAAACAAGTCTTGCTCACTGACTTCCATCTTGGGGCATTTTCGCCTGGCTGCAAGCCTGTGTGAGACAAACCTGAAAGGAAAGAGAAATCCATCAGCACTCAGAGACACTGGTACAGCCCACAAGCACCTGCAGCTCCAGCCTAAAGCAGAGCTCTGTTTTTCAGAGTGACAACAGCTCTTTTCCCCACTCTGTACTGAGCCAGATGTGATTTGAATTTCCTGCTTCTTCCTTCTTTCCTCCATGCTGCTTCTTCACCTCAGCCAAAATTCAGGAAGAGGGGTCAGGGGGAATAAGGAGTTTCTACTGCAGCTCAGCAATCCCCTGACTGGTGGCAGAGGGACAGCACTGCCTTACAGCCATGGCTGACAAAAACACCCAGACTTACTGACAGCTTCTGCATGAGCCCTTGGGCCTTGGGGTTCAGCTGAAGGAAATTCTTCTTGGTCAGATCCTTTTCTGTCAAACGTATGCTCTGTGGAAACAAACACAAAGCTCAGGTTTTCTGTCCTGCCAGCTGAAGACAGTAAAAGAGTTAAATAAAATAAAAGAGATTAAGATCTAAGTATAGACAGGCAGGGAACTACATTCAGCTCATCTCACACCTTTCCTGCAGAGCATTAATGCATTACTGGTTGTGGTGGTTTTAAAAAGCTCGATTTGTGGTATGAGGGATAAAGCCAGGGAGTGAATGATTTTTTTTTGTGGGTGCACTGGCATTCAGCCATCATCAAACCCACTAAAGCTGCAGTAGTGTGAGTGTAAGTGCTTTAAAGTGAATGCACAGTGAAACATCCTCCTGTTCTGTTTCAATCAGCTTGAGCAGACCCCACTCCTGGCTAAGAACCTCTTCAGGTTTGTTTGAAGCTCAATCAACCCCTCAGATGGGCACAGCTAAAGAGACAAGAGGGGCTGAAGGGAAGCAGGTGAGGCTCCAAGAGGTGCCTGGGCAGGGAAGGGTCAGGATTTACCTCTCCCCCACCGAGGGGCAGGGTGAGGATGACATCCTCAGGCTCGGCCAGGGGGCTGCCCTTGGCAGAGAAGGTGTAAACGCGCTCGTTGATGGCGGGAGTGCGCAGCCCCGGCGTCTTGAACATCCTGAAACGAGATAGCAGTGAGTGATGCTTGCTCACAGCACCTGCAGACCAGTAAGAACCTGAATGAGGGATGTGGGACTCCAGACAGCTCTCCAAAATGCAGTTTGTTACATCCAAGAGGTTACAGCAGTCCAGGATTGTGGGCAACAGAGCTGTGCTCCAGCTGCAGGCAGGCCTGGAGACCCTTTGGTTTTAGTTACAATGCATTCTATACTTTTCTCTTGGTTACAATGCATTCTATACTTTGCTGAGCTTTTCAATACAGCAGAACCAATCTATACCTTAACTTTTATCTATAGCCCATCATAACTACTGTAATTACCATATTCATGTTACTGTTCTCCAATCACTAAAAGTTAGTACGTTACAGTTTAAGCTAGAAGTTGTTTTTCAGTTTTCTTGCAATTAAAAATTCTGAGACCTTTTTTCTATTTGCAACATTGGCATGTTTGTTTGCCTGTGCTGTCTTTCTGCTTGGTAAAATGATTTTTTTGTTTAAAGTGAGTTTATCTTTTGCTCTAAGCCATGAAAACCCCTTCTAACTAACACCCCCTTTGCCTCCTTGGTTATCCAGTAAGAGTGGCTCAGCAATTCTTTTCTTCTATATCAAAACTTGCTTTCATTTCTATTCCTTCTTCAAATTCTACATTCAAAAGTCTTGCTGCTAAGCACACATATCATGAAACTTTCTTATCAAACTTTCATCCTTCCCAACACAGTCCAAGTCTTTCATTTCAGGTCCAAAGAGACACTAAAAGCTGTGTTATAAACAGATGGTGTGAAGCAGACTGGAGCAGAGATAGAAAGGAGATGTATTTGTTTTCTCTGTTAACACACCTGGGATCAAATCTGGGTGTAACCATGGAGGTGCCTCCCTGAGCACACATATCAACCATTCTGCCAGAAGCTGGAGTGATGAAGCTGTTTTTGCTTGATCTGTAAAGGGAAATAAACATCTGTACATAACACAACCTCTAACAAGTGTACAGACACTTGGAGAAGGTGACCACCACTAACCCCAGGGGTTATCACTAACCACTGACCCCCAAACTGGGGACAGCTTGTTCTCACAGGACAGCCAGCTGTCCATCTTTAATTCACATCAATTTTGCCCTGCAGTGAGGCACAACTCTCCCCCCCAAACCAAAGCCCATCCCACCAAAGAGAGATATTGATATTTGCACTCTCCATTTCTAGAGAGGAGACAGAGACATCCCCTTTACCTCTTGTTCATGCCCTTCACTCTCGCTGAGGGAGGTCTTCTGGCCACACGTGGTTTTTTGGCAGATGCCTTCACCTGCAGCACACATCACCCCCCACATCAGTTACTTCCCTCTCGTGGGACAGCTGAGTCCACACAAAGAGGCTTCCACACAAAATGCTCAGTCCCTTTCCATGCACAAGAGCCCAGAACAAACACCATTCAAGCCTTTGGGACCCTCCCCACTGCTAGAACTCTCTGGGAAGCACCAGCTGGGTGCAGTCTCCCTCAGGGCATCCTGGGCAGCCCTAGTCAGCAGCTCAGTCAGGAATTCCTGTCCTGAGGATAATTCCACCCCAGAGAACAGCTACTCACTCACCTTGCCAGTCCTTGCATCCCCACTCTCAGTCTCTGAAGGACATTGGCTGGCAAGTCGAGATCTCTTCTGCTGTGGAAGTGATGGAGGCTCTGCTTCCTCATCACCTTCAACACTCCTTTTGATTCTACTCACTGGAAAGAGAAAGTGTTATCTAACTGAATAATAACTTTAAATTATTATTTAGCAGGGAAGACAAACAGCTACAAGCAGTTTTAGCAACAATTTGCTTCAGAAATCCAAATTCCAAAGCCTAATTGTTGCCAGAGCACTACTTTGGATTATTTTGAATGTTTTAATGAAATTACTTAGAGGTACTGCAGGTACTAGGGATAAAAGTAGAATTATTCTCCTGGTTTAAGCATACTGATGGATATGAACAAGAATTGAATTATTATTCACATTAACAACCACAACATGCTTCCACATCACCAGTGATGCCACAATGCTTAAACTCACCCTTCTCAGCAATATCCAACAGGGGATCGATGATGTCTGCGCCCAGCCTGGGGATTTTCGTTATTTCCGTGTCTCCCTAAAATTAAAAACACTTGTGGCACCATTGGGATTATTGGCAGCCAAAAGTTTGTGTAAGTTAAAGTTGCAGAGCAAACCCCCAATAATTTTACAGCCAGATGAGCTCCATGTTTGCTGTTGTGCTGAAACTGGGCCTTTCGTGCATCTCTGCCTCCCTCAGGACTCAGTGCCTGGTTGGCAGCTGCAGGTGTGCCTTTCCTACACCCTGCTGCCCAACCAGCTTAGAAATACTGTGCTTTACTACAAAGTCCCAGGGATTTGGGAGTGCTACCTAGCAGATAAGGAAAGATCAACCGGGAGGAACAGCACCATATAAATCACACCTCTGATACAACCTGCCTCTCTTTATTGTTGAATTTTAAAGAAACCTTTGAGAAAATATTGATGTAACTGTTTCACTTGTAATCATCAGTGTGAGGAGCAGAGTAGGATAGCTTTAGAGAGCTTTATGTTTGTTCTAGACACCTACCTTAGCCATATCCTCCGGCGTGTTTTCACCTCTTGCTAGAGCTAGAAAGAAAAGTATCGGATACATCAGGACATGTCAGGGGACACTCACACAGCACAGCAGGGCTGTCACCATGGGGGTGAAAAACCCAGCACAAACCAGAGAACAGAAGCAGTGGAATAGCGGGGTCATTCCCTGGGGATTGCAGGTAGAGTAGATCCCATCCCATCCCCTCCCCTCCCTTACACCCACTGGGGTTCATTATTATCCACGGAGGAAGGGGTCCCTGAGCCCAGCACCCCCGGCCCCGCTCCTCACCGAAGAATTCCAGCCAGTTCACGTCGCGGATGGCGGCCGGCAGCCGCAGGATGGCCATGTCGTACATGTGCTCCACTTCTTGCACCATGCGCTCCCCGTCCGCCTCGATCCGCTTCAACCGCCGCTCCACTGCGGGGAGACGAAGCATTAGCCCTGCCCGCAGGCCCGGGGCCTCTCTCCTCCCCGCGATCCCCTCCTTGTCCCCGCGATCCCCTCCTTCTCCTTCCCCCTGCCCTACCTTCTCTGTCGAAGTCTTGGAGGAACGCCTCCATTTTGCGGCGGCGGGCGCTGGAGTTGCCCTTTTTCTTGGTGGGCGCCATTGGTGGTTCTGTGGTTCTCTCCTCAGCGGGTTCTTATTGCGGGTTACTTATCGCGGGATCTCTCCACTGCGAGTTCTTATTGCGGGTTACCTTACTGCGGATTATTTATTGCAGACTCTTTGTTGCGGGTTATTTTTTGCAGGTTCTCTCCCCAGCGGTTCCTCCGGGCGGGCTCACTGAGAGCTCCCTCAGCGCTCGCTCCTTCAAACGCAACCGCCGCCCGGGCTGCCCAATGGCGGCGCGGCGCGCCCCGATGACGCGCGGCAGCAGCGCCGGGCGGTAATGGCGGCGGTGATGGCGGCGCCCGTGGCCGCGCTCCGGGCCTGGTCGGAGGCGGTGGCGCGGGCGGAGACGGCGGCGCGGGAGGCTTTGGCAGCCACGGCCCCGCTGTTGGACTCGCTGGCCGCGCTGGCGGCGCAGATGCGGGCGGCGCAGCGGCTGCCATGGGACGCGACGGCGCTAGGCGCCTTCCCGGAGCTGCGGGCGCGGCTGTGGCGGAAGCAGCGCGGCGCGGCCGAGGCGCTGCTGGAGCAGCTCGGCCAGCGGCGGTGAGGAGGCGGCGGGGGCCGGGCGGGCAGGGCTGCCAGGGCCCGCCTGACCCCGCTGTGCCGGCAGGGAGGAGCTGCGGGCCGTGCGGGACGCCGTGGGGGCCGCGGGCAGCGCCGTGCTGCGGCTCGTGGAGGAGCGGGGTCCGGCCGAGCTGGGGCTGGCCGCGGTTCTGAGGCGGGGGCCGCGCTGCCCCTCGCTGGCCGATGTGCTGGAGGGGCTGCAGGACGTGGAACGCTACTACCGGCACCTGTATCCATCCTGCTGGGGGTGTCAGGGCGGTGCTGGGGGGCTCTTTTGTCCGTGTTGTCCTTAGCAGGCACGAAGGTACTTGGAGATCAAACTGCTCCTGCAGCGCCTCAGCTTGGACAGCCTGGCAGACGTAGAAGCCCTGCCGCAGTGCTGGGAGAGGATTTTGGAGCGTTACAAAGAAGATGATGTTGTTCAAGGTAGTTCTGTGTGTAAAGAGCTGAGGGGTGTTGCCCAGGGCTCTGTGCTGATGTCTCCTGGTGACAGGCCTGGCTGTGCTGGCCCTGCTGGTCTCTGCAGCAGTGGGTGACCCTGCTCTGAGATCTTGGTCAGCTTCAGGTGAAAACACTCACCATCACACCTGGGCACAGCTGGAAGCAACATCCTCACAGTGTGGCAAGGGCTCAGTGGTCATCAGTTCTACCAAGACTTTTTTTTATTGCCTTTAGGACAAGTTTTTGGGATACAGAATACAGGTAAAGCACATTCAGCTGACGGGGTTGTTGTTTTTCTCTGTCTCAGATACACTCCTGAAGGTCTCACTGTTTGTGGAGAACCATCATGAGGTGAGCTGCTCACCTGGCTCCTGACAGGCAGCAGGGATTGGCACTGCCCAGCTTCTGGAACATTCTGCAATGCTGCAAAGGGGATGAGGAACAGAGGGAGATCTCCTGGTGCTTTTTGGAAGCTGAGTTGAGTCTTGGTCTCAGCATGAAATGCTTGGACTATGCCATTTTCAAGTGGAAATGGCCTTGGTCTCTGAAGAAGAGGCTGAGCCAAAAAAGCCATGAAGATAGAAGGGAGTCACCTCCAGCTGTGGAACTTGTCCTTTCCTCCTTCTGCCATGCCTGTTTTGTGTCATGGCAAAAATGTTCAGACTTACATGAAGTGCTGCAGGTGTGTGAGTGTAAAAGAGTCCTTCAGGCTGCAGCCATGAAAGATATTTGTCCTTACAATAAAGAAAACATACCAGATTTAGAATTTAGAAACAGTGCTCACCTCGTGTCTTTGAGCAGTGTGTTTGCACTCATCCTACCTGGGCATGGAGGAGGAAGGAAGCAAATCTGAATTCACTCTTAAAATTTCACTGGCTGGTAGCCACTGCTGACAGTTCAGGGACAGATTTTGGTGGCCATGGCACTGATCCTCTGAAGGTTCCCAGGAATCTGTGGGATGTTTGTCTCCCAGCTGTGTATTTGGTGAGGAGCTGCAGGGTGACATTTTCTGGGTCCCCTGTGGCAGGAAAGAATGAATCTGATTCCATGTTCTTAGAAGGTTATATTATATTATATTATATTATATTATATTATATTATATTATATTATATTATATTAATTATATTATTACAGACAGAAGGCTTAACAAGATATTAATTAAAAACCTGTGACTCTCTAGAGTCTCAACACAGCTAGACTGTGGTTGGTCATTAAGAAAAAAAACAATTCACATGTTGAATAAACAATCTCTAACCACATTCCAAAGCAGCAAAACACAAGAGAAACAAATGAAATTATATTGTTTTCCTTTTCCTCTGAGGCTTCTGAGCTTCCCAGGAGAAAAAAAATCCTGGTAAAGAGATTTTTAAAAATTTAATAATAACACTGCAGCTTCTTGGAGAAAGCCAATAAAGAATTGGATGGGGCAGGTTGTGGGTGTGATGTTTGTGCTCAGGTTTCTGTGTCCCCAACCTGGGATGTCTCTGTGGCCACCTGAGGGCACTGCATGACCCATGAGCACTGAGGAGAGCAGATCAGGGTGCTGGGGGTGCCAAGGGTGGGAAAGGGCTGGCTCAGGGCTAGGGCTGCCAGTGCTCCCATCAGGAACAGGGGATCATGAGTTCTAGCTGCAGTTCTTCACACAGAGTTCTAATTGCAAAGAAAACCTGTTCCTGGTGCTGGGTGCCCTGCCTGTGGCTTGAGCATGATTCCTTCACCCAGGGTTTTCTGGGAAGCTGATAAGCCTCAGAGAAATTAAGAACAATTCTTATCTCATTTGCTTCTCCTGTGTTGTGCTCATTTGTAGAATGTGTTTGGAGATTGTTTACCCACAGGTGATTGTTCCATTGTTTTCTGCTGTGAGTTGTTTTGACTCTTTGGCCAATTGGTGCCAAGCTGTGTTGGGACTCTGGAAAGAGTCTCAAGTTTTCATTATTATCTTTTTAGCATTCAGTATCTTTTCTGTTTTTAGTATAGTATTCTTTAATATAATACAGTATAATAAAGTAATACATTAGCCTTCTGACAACGTGGAGTCAGATGCATCATTCTTCCCTGCCGCAGGGCTCACTGTGATTTACAATCCCCTGCCCAGGGTGGAGGTGAGGTGGGTTCTGCTCCTGGTGGAGGCTCACGTGCCTGTGCAGCCTTGGCTTCTTACACAGGGTTTGGAGCATGGCTGATGGCTCAGGGTGAATCAAGGGTGTCATCCTCACAAACCAGATGGTGAGCTTGGATGCAGAATTATCTTTGCATGTGTACAACCCTTCAACACCCTCTCCTGTCAGCCTCTCTTCAGGACAGCTGCCAGTGCACAAATGGATTTAAATTCAGGGAGATGTTCAGCACAGTTCAGTGGTGGCCCTTCTGCTTCTCCCAGATGTTTGGCCCCTGATGTCTTTGTGCTAACAAAGTGCTGAGGGAGCTTTCTGCATTGAAAGTGGCCGTGCCCTGACTCTGACTGACTGAAATGGGGTGAGTGAGGTGCTCATTGAAGTTCTGGTGTGATTAATTGCTCTGTGCTGTTCCTGCTTCCTGGGCTGTGTCACCAGCTGCATTTGTCTGCAGCTCTGTGGGGTGAGTGAATTTCTGCATCAGAGCACTTTAATTGGGATCAGCTGTGGGTTGTTCCACTGCAGATGTGCATTTTCTGCCAGGATGGCTGCCAGAGACCCCAGAGCTGAGGAGGACATGGTTCCTTGTGTGTGCAGAGCTCCCTTCAGCCTGGGAGTCACTGTGAGCAGAGCCAGGGTGGGCATTCAGCCTGTCAGGGCCACACGTGTCCTCAGGCAGGTGCAAAGGCCACTCCTTGCCATCACCCTGCCTGTCAGGGTGATGCTTTTTCCTTGATCCTAAAATTAAGAGCCAGACACAGTTAAGGGATAAAGGGTTTTTATCTTGGTATTTATTAATGATCCTTACAGTGCAACACTTCATCAAGGTGGAGAATGCTGAAATGTACACCTGAGAGATTGTGTATACAATTGTATAGATCTTACAATATAGTATATCTAATAAAAATGCTTCAATGAGAGGCTTGAATCAACAGGTGACATTTTCTCATCTCTTTTGGATGGGCTTAATCTTAGTTTATAAGATATATTTTAGATGGGACCTTGGATTTTCAAGGATAGTGTAGGGTTTTCCAACTTTCACCTACAAGGCCTTTAGGATGTTTGATCTTCTAGCCTGACAGAATACCAGAACTATATTGTTATCAGACTTAAAGAATTACAACTATGTATTCTAAGAGCACTGAGAATACATAAAAAAATATAGGAAAGATCTATAAAAGATATATAAAATGCAAAAATTCATCATGGCATCAAGAGGCTCCAGCCTGTGCTGTTTCTTAGTGAGGCTATGGGTAATACAGCACTAAGGGCTCTGAGACCAACTGGTAAAATATATGTAACCATAAAAATAAATCCAAGTACCTTTATTTTTGGAGTAGAGCTCTTAAAAGTATCCTTGCACAGAGATCTGTCTTTGAGGAATGCAATAAAATGCAGTTAGCAGCTGGAGCTACCTTGTTAAAGGAAAATTGTCAGGAAACACAAAGCTCACACTTTGATTTTCAGCTTTACCTCCTGCTAACTCCATTGGAAAACAGTTATTCTTCACTTACAGGAAAAGCACAAACTCAATTCAGCTATTAAACTCAAATGCCCACAAACATTTACAAGAGCACCTGACTCATGTATGGTTGTTTTGTTTCCTCCCATTGGGGTGGGCACTGGTTTCTGGTGCAGTTCTGCTTAGAAATGGGGACCTGCTCTTGGTAACACCAGATTTCCAAAACAAACCCAAAGCTTTGCTTCAGCCTAAGCTCATGGATTTGAAACAGATTTCAAACATGAGTGTATTACAAGAGCCCACAGTTATGGAAAAGACAAAGGATTTGGCACCTGAACTGAAGTGCAAAGTGGCTCAGAGGCAGAAATATGTAATAAAAAGCTTTGTGATTAATTTAATAAACCAAGTATGGGCTTCACAAGTCCCTGTGGTTTTTGAGCTTATTCTTTGAGACTTTCATCTTGGCCTGAAGCAGAACTCCTCTGTGACTTTGCTGAGGGGCTGCCTGAGTACTTATTTGCTCTGAAACACAGCAAACATTCTCCACTACGTTAGCTGGCTTTTTACTGTTCCCCAGTCCTGGCTCAGTGTTTCTCTAATGCCTATGACTTTGTCACAGCTTTTGCCCTGTTGAGCTCCAAGGAGGGGCAGGTTCTGCTGATCTGGGTGTGTGCAGTGAGTAGGGAATGGTTCTATGCTGTTGGCACCCCAGGTCCAGGAGTGGGGATGTGCTGGAAGGATGAACCTGCCTGGTTGCCCTGTTCTTCCACCACCTCCCCAGCTACCAGTGCCTCCCCACACACCAGAACATACAGAAATATTAATCATCTATTTAATTTCCCAAAAAAGCACCCTGAGACTGGGTTCCCCTCTGTCCCCCAGCATGCCACAGCTGCCATGGGATGGCTCCCTGTGTCGCCATGATATTTTATAAAAAATCCTTTTGCTAGGAGTTTTGCTGAGAGGCCTCAGAAATGAAATGTAAACAATAATTATCTGCTGCTGTGGAATGCAACAGGTGCATCTGTGATTGATCTCATGTGGTTGTTTTTAATTAATGGCCAATCACAGTCAGCTGTCTCAGACTCTCTGGTCAGTCACAAGATTTTATTATCATTCCTTTCTTTTCCTTTCAAGCCTTCTGATGAAATCCTTTCTTCTAGTCTTTTAGTATAGTTTTAGTATATAATTTTCTTTTAATATAATATATATCATAAAATAATAAATCAGCCTTCTGAAACACGGAGTTAAGATTCTCATCTCTTCCCTCATCCTGGGACCCCTGCAAACACCACCACACTCCCTGCTCTCCCTGGTCCTTCTCTCCACAGCCCAGACAGTCTCTAGGCTGCCTGGGGAAGGCAGAATGAAGAACATCAAGCCAGTAAGTCTCCTAACCATTCTGCTATGTGAGGAATGAATCCAAGAGCCTTTGCACACTATTAATCTTTTCCAGTTCCTAAGAAAGCAAACGATCTCCTCCCGCTCCCATAAATCCAACCTCTCTCTCCAGCTTCTCCCCTGGTGTTTGAACTGCTCGCCAAGAGCTTTATTAAAACCTACAAGATGCAGTTTTGTTCCTCACTGAATCCTAAACAACTGTGCTAGATGGAGAAGAAACATTTGGTGCTGTCAGCTTTAGAGCATTTTTGTGTGTAGTCCATGGCCACTTGTCAGCCTCAGCCCCACTCTGAGCCCAACAGAACCTTTGCTCTGCTCCCCTGAGGCTGGGAGATAAATTCAAACTGGCCAAACCTCAGGGCCTCATGTCCCAAAGCACCTGGCACTGATCCCTATGGGGGCAGCAGGAGGGATGGGTGCAGAGTGCTCCTGTGGCACCCTGCCCTCCTGTGCCAGTATCTGCAGTTTGCCAGTGGCCTTGGGGACACTGCTGGGCAACTGCCACATCCTGGCACCTCCTGCCACCTCCTCTCCTGCTCTGAGTGTGAGGCTTCCTACAAACCCTGTGTGTGTCCCCTTGGCATCACCCAGCCAGTGTCACTGTGGGGGTGTGGGGCACCAGGGGATGGTGCCCAGGTGTTGGGGTGAGCAGAGAAGCTGCAGCTGGTGTGGGGCACCAGGGGATGGTCTGTCAGAACCCAGGACATTGCTCTGGCTGCCCTGGGTGACTCCAGACCCTGGCAGGGGGCTCAGAGACCTTGGCATGGAGTCACAAACACCTGTGCCTTTGATTTTAGCCCATGGAAATAATTACCAACTTTGTGTGAGGATTTACAGGCCACAAGGGTATGAGTAGAATGATAGTGAATTTACCACTGGGTGAAAATGTAGAATTTTGGGGTTTTTAGAATGAGGGTTCAGGAGGCAAGATGGAGGAATCTGGGTGTGTCCTGTCCTTCTTCTTCTTGGCCTCCATCTTCTGCTGTGATGGTGACATGTCTGGATTGGTTTAGAGTAGAAACAGACTGTCTAACATAGGTGATAGGTATGGGGAAATTATTGTAAATAAAGTACACGTAGTTCTTAGTATAAAAAGATAAGACTACCCTGAGGGCAGGGACTGTAC